CATTTTATGGGAATGTTTAACACATGAAACAATTCAAAACAAATAAATATTCTACAATGAGCAATGCGATGATTATGACTTTTTCCAATCCCTAAATCGTCTGAGTTTATAATCGATACTCGAGAAAACGTTCGTTCGGAATAAAAATCATCACACCAAATGCAAATCAGATTCAGAAAATGGCTAGAGAATGAAGAATCAATGAATGTATGACGTACGCAGACACACAAACTCAGAGATAAGATTACAATGAAATATGGTATGGCTAAATCAATTTATTTAATAGACGGAGACTTGTCAACAGAAACCCAATGCGGTCAAGCAGATCGGGTGCTAAGATCATTTTAATCCATTCAAAGCACATCGATTGCAATTACTGATCCATTGAAATAAACGTTATGTGGCAATAATTCGAACTGCCTATCTTGTTTCATTCAACAAACGCCGAGTATTTCAAAGGACTACACCTTAAATTTCATAAATTACTAATTTATTTGAAGGTAGAACGCATCCAAGGCATTTGAATGTTTCCAATATGGTACACATCCTGCTTTAAGAATGATAGTTGAACGCAAATTCAAATGATGTTTACCACGTGTTATCGTTCGCACTCAGTGCCGTAGATACGTTATCATGCATCACATTATCACCAGTGTATAATTAGCATTGGAGTATTAGCTGTAGAGTACCAGAACACCAAGTTTATTTAACGTTTATTAGCCTACCAAAGTTGGAATTGGAACAAGTTTCAAAATCTTCTGATTGTAGGATTGGAAATATTCCTCGCATTCAGCGATTCTTTTACAGTTTTGATTATCCATGTGCTTGAAATTGGCCTCTACCATGCAGATTCAACCGATTGCATTACACCACTACACTTTAAAGACACCAGAAAGTTATACTATCTTCACGCAGTTCTTTGCTCAAGCCGTTCATTGTTTGCCTGCATGCATTCCAGTACATGGAAAGAAAGAATAAAAGCAAATGGCTGGATTATTGTGATTTATCGAGTGCAAAGTAATGACTCAGAGAATCATTTCGAGTGGACGGAATAGTTAAAATGCGAAATGATCATTCCGAATCCTCGGGGCTCATGACATTCGGTGGAGTTAGAAGATGAGAGGACGAGAGTGTCTATTTCCAATATATGTCCCATTCGTCGGTGATATGTCGATAGTGCGGGGAAGCGATTGGAACCGTCAGTTTATGGTTTTCTCGTTCAGGTGGGTAAAAATACTTTCGTTGCTGCATTTGGAGCACGAACGTCGTGTGATGCAGAATGCCCAGTAACTAGTGGTATTGGGTTCGTTTAACCAATGTGTTCCCAGTAGGACTCGTTGTATATGAAGCAAGCCAATGAAGAAAAGATTTTGATAAACTGTTTGTTTACGATCGCCAGCATTGATCACTGGAGGATTGATTTTCCCCCTGTCTTACTTTCTGTGCAATGAATATCCCGTGTGGGTTTGAATAATTCAGGGTTGGTGACTTTGATTTACAAAAGAGAGGTGAAGAGAATAATTGAGATCCAAATAATTCAAACTTATCCGGAACACAGTCACAAATATTAGCTTCTGGGAATCGACACAGGAAAACGTTAGCACAAGTCGAATACAGGTTTCAGAGGAATAAAACATATGCAAATATTGGTTGGCTTCCAACAGTAGTACTCAAGTAAGACCATTGGACCAAGTCGTATTTGGTTTACAGAAAAACCAGGTAAATTGGTGTGATTCAATTCATACTGTGTTCCACTGATGGCACAGATAATAGGAAACACTGAACCACCTTGTCTATCTACTCAATATAGAGCTTTGCAAAAGCCACTACTATCTGCAATTTGAAAAAAGCTGGCTGAACTACAAATTAAAACATTCTATTCGCGTAGAGGCGTTGTTAGCACAGACTGGAACAGAAAGCAACCAAACTCAAATTTGGGCTATACCCAATGACGCTGGAACAAATCTTTGTTCTTGATACGTCCAAACCGGTTGTGAATAGCACCCATCTCAAGTATTTGGTAGTCGAGCAAGTTGGTATTAGTCACTATCTTAACACACAAGGAGTCCACTGAAATGTGCACACTGGGTTGTGTGATCCGGGGATTCACCTTTACGAACCGAAGCTATGACAAGAAAAAAGAACTTTCTGAATCGGTGCAGCCCTTGTGTTTAATACATTAGTTGCTCATGGTTGTGATTTCACATTTAAAAACTATTTCTCCGTAGAGACACGCATTGATAATTTGAAAGTGTTGTTCAAATTTCTCACATTGTCCGGTTGCATGAAAAATATAAAAGGAACACAATCTCTTCTAATGGAAACACATGTTATGTCAAATGTATAGTTCATGCACACTATGGTCTTGAACAAAATATGTCTGTTGCAAATGACTTCAGGTCACCCACATAGATATCAAATTGCAACGCCTACGCAAATCCTATGAAAGCTAAGAGTTAGCTGTTAGCACTCAAAAGAAAACTAATATGTGTATATTGGATGTTAGAGCATGAAACATACGTTTGGTTACCACTATGAGAATCTGCATTGCAAATCAGTTCTAAGGATGCTTGCCGATCGGACCATGGAAAATGAAAGTGAGTCCATTATGGACTAGAAAAATAAGACAATATATGTTTTGGACCTCACGAGCTCAGACAGAAGTATCAATATATACGAAAGTATTTCATGTACAAAATTTACTTAGGCCAAATGAATGAAGATCACACAGGAAGAACCCAAGGCAAATCCAAATGTCTGCGAACTCGCTCGGAAGACATAAGACGGTTTCCCAATTCAAGGTAGAGAGCCTCGTGTGAGATTATGCCTGTCATTTGTTGACCGCGTGGAACAGATTGCGAAAACTAGAGAATTTTGAATAAATGAGCATAGAAAAGCCAGATAGGCTTTTTCAATCAAATCCTTTCGTGAGCGTGCAACGAAATTCGTTCCGAAACTGCCAAACAACGATCGTCATTCATACACTTTTGCCATCTATCAGGTGTACTTTATAAATAACTACTCCGATAAAGTTGATACTGGCCCACCCCAGAGTTTTATTCGAGTGACATTATGGACAGACAAAAGAATACCCGACAAGAACACAGATGAGTCCTTCGAGGAACCCGAATAACCCAAATTTCAGCTGACAGAAATCAACAACTCTTAAGGCACACGGTGCACTCGAAAGCCTATCCTCGGAGAACCGACTCCCTACGCATTCAGGTTTGAAGATCTAAATTCTAATGTGAATTCCGGTTGTGGGAGCACAAACAAACAAATGCATCTTATTTATTCAACAATTTCTTACAATAGATTACTTTTGTCACACATGCCGTCTCTCTAGATGTTTCAATTTTATTGTCAATCAAGAGTTTGTTCCAAGGTGACACCTTGTCTCTCTACGCCACGTTTTGCTTACTGTACCGGGTGAGGAGTTATTCCCTCTACCGTACTCCTGTTTCTTTTCTCTTTCTCTCTCTTTGTCGTCCAAGTAGAAAGCAATAGCCATAGGCACTGTTAGAACCAAATTATGTCTGGGGTTTCCCTTAGTAGTGTGGGTGAACCTTTGAACTCTAACCAATTAGCAGTTTACTGTTGTTTGTTGTAGTTTCAGCCAGGTCAAGCCAATCAATGATTGTTTTAAAAGTACTTTTTGATTTGGAAACAATTTTCCTTTTTTAGTGGTAACAATCAGCGGCAGAATGTCTTTCACACCTCGCAAAAGGAATTGGATCGTGAAGTGAAATTTCGCGCTGTTAAATCTCTGTTTGTACTGAATCGCAACCCGTTTGCGAACACAAGTTATTCTAGTTAGGCAATCTAGAATGACCTTGCAGCAAGGACGGATGAGGAAAAAATTGCTCACAATCAATTAGTGTTTAATGAACTCATTTTAGGTCACAGTAGACAGATCAAGAACACTTATGTGCTAATTGATTGAACTCTTGTTAATACCTCATCGAATGACGAGTGGATACTGCTGTTCCCAAATCTGTAGAAACGCCTAAATGTGACATGACCTGGAACGGTCACCAGATTTATTCAAACATTCCTCATACCAATATTCATCATTGAAAGATAAGACATTCACGGAGAGTCAATCTGAACATCTGAACGAAAATGATTCCACACTCGAATTGTCCAGACAAAATATTTGATCACATAAGCACTCGTGGAAATCTTCTAATATGTTGTGATTGCTTTTAGGAAAACAGTACCCGATTGGAATGCTGTTGTAGTATACAGATAATCAAAATTGTTTTGTGCAAAAAGACGTAATAGTATTTTTCTAGACTTATCATATTCAAATGCGGTTTTTTAAGTCTTGTAAGAAAATGAATAAGTAAAGAGTCGTACAGCGAAAATGTTTAAGATAAACTTTCGTTTACCTAGCGTTTGAGCTCTTCCATTTCGTAGGTTAGCGGAAAGAGGGTAGGTCCATCGAGGATGATGTTGATTAGCTCGGCTGGTCAGTTTTATGGGAAACCAAATCAGTACGATGGGACCCAGAAGGTGATCATCTGATTTCCCTCCACACAACGAAAATCGTGTATGGTAAACGACNTAAACGACTAGTTAACCATATACAATGCCTTCCAAATATAGTCACTCAAGGGGATGCGTTGCTGTATACGGACAATAATCCCACCATCATCGAAGCACGGGAAGGCGTACATTACTGCGCTTGGAATTGTGAGGGTGTTTTGATCAATGCGAACTATTTGGAGTATGTGAAAAACCACAGACATATTAAAGAAAAATTTTATTTCCTAATTTTTGCTGAATGTTGACTGGGAGAGATCATATTAATTAGAAGCTAAAACACGCGTCTCACAAACAGCAGTAAAACGTTTCCTCTAAAGTTCAGAAAGTTGATTTAGCGAAACCACTCAAAAGGAAATTCTCAAAGACCACTCACTCGAATTCATTTTAGACAATTTATGGAGTACTTTCATACAAATAGACAGAAATATGCATATCATTGTGAAAGTATTCGTTCAAATGAACACACCTGCGGGCGCCACTGGACGTTCAACGGTTGGTTGGTTGACGTATGATGTACCGGTTGGATAGCCAGCAATAGCATTCACTGTGTTTGTGCGCTGAACCAACTCGGAGCGTATTTGGGAGTCTTGCAGTTGCAACTGCATAAAGTAACGAAACCAGGCCTGATATGCAGGATCCTCCTCAGAGAATGAAATATCCTGGTTAGGGGCGCTTGTTGGAACACATGTACGTCTTGCCTTGACCGCTGCGATGGCAAGATAACGTGCTATTTGTGTTAACTCCTCAAGTCTCAATGTGGATTGCTGGGAGTCGTTCATTTTTCCGTATTGCTCATTATATGGTTGTAAATTACGATTTTCGTTCATCATTTGATCGGCACTCAAAGCATCACAAAATCCAGATGCAAAAACATAAAAGGAACCGGTGAAGTGACATGTACCTCGGACAGTTGTCACACCCTACTGGTACGTACTACACCATTGGTCAATGATCAAGGCTGAATACAGACCTTCGAGTGACCTTGGAGGATGAAGGTCATTGGTTATTCTCCTTGGGTTGTTTTACGACCAATCAGAATATACAAACGTGTTACGCGTTCCAACGGGCTCAGTTACGCCATTACAGTCATCCATTGCGACCAAATTCGTGAATTCCATGCACTACGATGACATTATGCAAGGGCCTTGGTTTGATTGAAAACTGAATTGATATATTATAAATCTTACTTGGTACATCTAAATTGTGAGAATTTGGAAACCGAGAAAATTAGATGGTCTATTTTTTCGTGAAAACCATCATGTGTGAAGTTTGTACCCAATATCCAAATGATGAATAGCTCCTATGGTATCTTATTCCTTGAAACGATGTGGAAATTCCCCAGTCCAATTTAACTGAATTATGGAGTCAGATGTCGTCTAATTATTCTACACATTATGGTGTTGCATTTATGAGCCGGATGAAGTGAAACCTAGTCAAACCGTATCACTAAGACAGTGGTATGAACAAAACCCGATATTGTAGCTCAGAATGACTGTTGATTTTTCATTAGTTGATCGGTAAACTGGGCAGAGTACTGTCAAACAGCCAAAACGGATTATGGAATCTAGGTTCATTAGTGACAGGAACCAACAGGAGTGTCGGTACTTTTGGGTAATTTCTAGATTAAAAAAAGCCAATAATAGAATGTATTATAATTTATTATGAAAAGCTAATTACATCTGAAATTACGGATTATCTATTGCTTGGTAGAAGTAGTTTTCCAAAGTTCGAACACTGAATATGTAGGTTTTCAAGTCTAAACCTGCTGAATTATCTGATTTGTATTGTCGAAGTAAATTATAGGCGCAGGTTAATGGCGTTTTGCAGCCTGATGTGTCACTTAGGATTTAGGTCATCCGATTTCATATTATGTTCATTTTCTGCCATATGTTAGATCATTTGGATAACTAATCATAAATTATATCATTCTTCAGTGTGACCCTCGTCCGATTTATCCATCTACCTATCAACTATATGTTTTATGGTTCATCTAATTACCCAAGAGATCAATACATTTACCCAAAATACCTTTGTCAAAAAAAGAACATTAATTATATTGAGGCGTCTTCAAACCGATATTATTCTTGTCTTGTTATCCTCGTTTTTCTTTAAAACTTCACACGAAAATTCGCGGACAAAAATAGACCCCAATCATGAAAACCTTTGTAGTCTAAATCAGGACCAAAAAAATGAATTAAGCTCGTGAAAAGTCATCTGTGAAAGTATTAAACGCCTATTACTATGTCAGTTCTAGAAAGGCTCAATCTGTTCAATCCGGTTGCCTAGAATCAGGTATAAATTACAGTTTTACTGCTTTTATATTTTGCTCATCAATTCTAAGAGCTTCATTCAGTGAAACATACCTGAATAAATATCGTAGATGAATGTCTAAAGAGACGGTATATTGTCCGCACAAGCAGGCGTTTATCTGAACAACCTGATTGCATAGGGGACTGATTAAGATTATGAATAGTTCGATCGTTTCACACCTAGCGGAGTCAAGCAAGGCGGTTAACTTGATCGCGTCGTTTAGACCTGTATATTTATTTCGTAGCCGTCAATCTAGTGAGATTAGTAGTCTCGTTCTTACCACATCCAAACCGATCGGAATCTCTGGACATACCTCCCTCCACGCTACCACAAACAAGTTTTAGGAAAACTGGGTCTTCCATGGCCAACACCACTCGGCACAGCCATCACCCCCCCCCTTCGTCCCTCCTAATGACCCGAANTGTGACCACCAAAGTGTGAGCAACATCTGGTCATGGAACTGAAATGATGCTTACTTCTTTTCCCATGTGTCCTGATTTTTCCCACCCACCTACCCCCAAGTAAATAGTTTGACATAAGTTGTGATAAGCCTGCAGAAGAATCGCCACAAATGAGCTTGTTCGCTACTGTTTTTTCTTGCAATGTTTATTCACGGCGTGTTCGGACAGTCTAAAACGCTCTTGGTTGATTTCAATGAGAAATACAGTACACGACTTGCCTGGCTGTGTTCAATTTTGATAGTTAATGTGAAAAGGGTTTTCAAGCTGTTTCACAGAAAAAACGATTAATTTACAAAAAAGTTCATTTTAAGGAATGTACACAGACATCATGTAGCTTCGATTCGAAGCAACGCACCTTATAAAGGGACCATTAAAAAACTATGGCAAATGAATGTGCGAATACAGCAATGGGAAACAAATCTTTCATATTCAAGTCATCAGAAATTGGTTGTGCGATTGGTATTTCAAGCACGCTTTATCTTCATTTACGAAGATGTATTCTTCGCGCAGTACAATAATGTACGTTTATTACATGCTTATCAAGAAACTGAGCAACTTTAAGAGACGGAATCAACCGGGATACAAACCCGCACACAAGGGTTGTTTTTTTCAACACCCTAACCACTGTCCGAATCTACTGCGGGGAGTTAGCTAAGCGTCAAATGCATCTAGTAAATCATTCATCTGTCATGTCTTTTGAGAATACCGGGACTTAGTAAACAGTGGTCAATTTTTTGATTCCAAACCTTTCAGTAACGTCTTACTACAACAGTGCAAGAAACTGGCACCTACTGGATACGAGGTTTCTTGATGTTATTTATCCGATCTAAGAAAGAAACTTAGATATGCGTACTACCAATTAAGACGACATGTGTAATTTGAAACTTTGTCGATTGGTCTGATAACTGGGATGATGTTATATTACCTTCTGATCCATCTAATCACAGTATTGGACTCCGTTTACTGTGGTGTCACTTTTGGTTTAACTGTCAAATGAGGAATAAGTGGTGTCCTAATAATGCATTAACATATTATATAAATCACTGTCTGTCTTAAACCGGAATGCAACACGACATGGGAACTACCTAAACAGTATTTATATAGGTTGCAATTTTAACAACACAGCGATGTCGTTACAAGTGAAAATATTAACCGACGTTTCCGTTACCATGGGTAACCTTTATAAAGCCGATTTTACAATCGAATGAGTCAGGAAAAGTTTACCAACTAAACTCTGATGCACTGTGTGTGTGCCTTTGTATGTAAGTCTGTGTCCGTGTCTGTGTGGATGTTATCGATCCGGATCAGGCGTTGGGCATATCCCTTTGTGGAAAACATTCATTGAGACATTAGAAATAAAATCCGATAGGGGGAACTAGATGTTTTTCGATAAATTCATCAACTGGCCATTTAGATTTATATAGTTAGTGCATTTAATATTGTTTGATCCTATGTACGGTGGATATTATTACCCTGTGTACAAAGCGATGCTAGGTGCGTCAACAATTTGATTGAGCTTCCCCTTGGTTACGACATTCTTCCAGTTACCACGATTGCATTGGTTAGTCGCTTGGCGACCGGCTATGTTAGAGACAATGTCTGGAAGAAACGCTTCTGATTGCATTGTGGGGGTCAAACAGTTTGATCGCAATAGCTTCAGCCGTGCATAGAAAGATAAAGTAATATCANTCAAATGCACTACCTATATAATGTAAATTGCTAGTTGTCGAATTTATCGAAAAACAGCTTTTTTCGCCTATCGGATTTTACATCCGTCTATGCAATATGTGTCTGTGGGATCTGGGTTATCTGGGGTCAAATCAGCTTTAGGAAGAGTGCTTCCAAGTGAAGCTAACGCTGTCCAGATGCTCGAAACCCCTGCCCCATTGTTTCGATTTACACACCCAGGACGGGCACTACTTACAAAACCTCGGCGTATAGGCGCTCAGTGTTTGTTCGAAAACTTCGTTAAAGAATTTTCGTGTTTCATTGTCTACATGGTGTCCCTCGGCATTGGCATGAAGTGCGATTGCCAAATCTTGTTCAAGTTTGTTGAATGGTGTGACATTAGCTGATCTCGATTTCTCTTTCCTTTGATGTCCGGTGATTCTCACCCCAGGATGTCTGCATATTTGTCCAATATCTTTTGCTGGGTAATCCCTGCGACTGATCTTGTAAATGCAGCTGTTTTATTCCTGCATCGGAATTGGATCCTTGACTTTGAACAGAAGAAAATCCGGATGTTGTAACTACCGAGGGTATTTCTAATTGCCTCAGATATCTCCAATCTGTAGGGTATACCAATGGATGCGAGCCAGTCTGTTGGACCCTTGCTTTCCGTGCTTGTTTTAGGTTTGCTAAGCTCATGTCGTACAAACCGCTATGGGTAATTGTTGTCCTGGAGTACCCGGTTTAAGCGTCGCATTTCTTCTTTGCGCGTTACCTACTCGTTGCAGAGGTTTTCAACCCCGTTTGCTAGTGACGAGATGAGTGAACGTTTTTACGCATTGTGGATGTGCAGAATCGAAATTCAAATATCTAGCTGAATGGGTTGGTTTTCTATGAATGCCTGTTTGAAATGCATGAGATTCACCAATTTTCACACGACAATCTAGAATGTTGATGACTCTCTCTGAATTCTCTGTTTCCGTCCTGAATCTTATCGAGTTACACTGATTGCTGAAGCAAATCTGTCGTTTATCCGCTTTGATGACTGTGAGAGTATCATCGACGTATCCAATGTATAGACGCGGGGTGGTTCTTAAGTTCAATGAAGGCTTTTGATTCTATAGAGTACATTAAAAGATTGTCAATCATTGGTGATACAGGAGGACCCATCGCAACACCATCAGTCTGTCTGTACAATGTGTGTTTGAACGTAAAATATGTGGAAGTGAGGCATAGTTCTTCATCATTATTGATTTCATGTAGGGTTAATAATCAACGTTCTTTGAAAGATGAGACAGAAATCAATATGGAATGTAAGACATCTAAACTGTTTCTAATGG